AAGTAACATGCATAGTTTGCTTAATCTCGTGCTTTTCTCCCAAAACAATAAACAAAGCATTAAAAGTGGGGCCGCGAGAACTCACTGGTTTGATGATGAATATCCAAGGAAATGAAGTCTGAAGCTCTCAACATCTGCCCTGTCTTCCTAAATAGACCAACATCCCACATTCAGATCTCCTATGAGCTCTAGACGGAAATAGAGTCAAGTTGCACCCTATGTAATGCCATCGGATTTTAGGAAATAAAGTTGATATTTTATTAATAAACTAATAATAGTCCAAAATAAAAGAAATCAAAATCTTTTACTCAAAAGCTGATTTTTGGACACATTATAAATTTTGTTCCAAATATTTTTGGGTTCCTCAAAACTCTAAAAATGAGAACCTTTCAAAAGTCATTTTATGCTCAACTTGTCACATCATTAAAAATAATGAGCTCAGCCGACTATTTCCGAATACCAAGAAGTTTGAGTGGGTTTTAAATTCCTCATCATTACTCTTCAACCTTGAGTTACACAGCCCTCGAAACATATTGCACGCTCACCGAGTGGCAGTCATATGGGGCCGAACTCATCATTTTCCAAAGGTAATCACCATTTTCAAGCTAGGAAAATAAATTTAAATCTCCAGGGAAGAATCTTTCTCGATTCCATTGAGTTTTCGAAGAAGATAGGATAGATTAAAGATGCATCCAAGATTTAACACTTCAAAACATAGCTTTACATGCTTAAACTTCACATGCAATGGGTTTCCCCTTCCTACTTTGGAGTTCAAGGAACATTAATCATAGATTATTATCCTCTTTGAAAATAGATTTAAGAAATGTTTCAGTTAAGCTCAAAAGGAAAAAAAAATGGAAACATTTTAAGCACGGGTCCTAAACTGAGTGTTTAGAAACCACACTCGGTAAAGCACGAGTCCTGAACTGTGTTGTTCAAAAGCCTTTTATTTAGACAGTTTACAACTCCCCCTGAATTAGTGCATCAATGGGATGATATTCTGATCAGCGCAAAATTGACATACCTGCAAAATCAGATCAAATAGATTTTGGTACCCAAATGAATTTGGGTCCTATTTTGTTAGTATCGTGCTGGGGTATGTTGTAACTTCCAAACCATCTATTTCTATTAGATGTTTGTTTTTAGCACTTTGAACAGGATGATCAGATAAAAAATATGATTCATGCCAGTTATTGTAATCATACTTGTTCTTACCTTTCCAATCCTTCTTATATCTGTTATTTGTACTCTATTTGTTGTATGTCTTCTTGTTCACAAAATATATTGTTTTGCATGTGGAGCACATGATTCTTCTCTTGCTAAGATGAATCAAATCAGTAGTAGATCTTACAAAACAAGGAAGATGATTAGTAACAACAGGGGTACGAGATGAAACAGATTTAGATTTACTGACCCAAATACTTTTAACCATAGAAGAATAATTGGATGATCTAATTGCATACCCTTGATAATACTGATTAGAAGAACGAGAATAGTTCTTAGAAACAGTAGATTTAGGGCTGCTTCAATAACTATTCGATTTGGAACAGTCATAGAAGCTGGTTTTACACTGAGAAGGAGAATCAATTGAGCTTTGAGCAAGAAAAGTCTTTGACTTTCTGTAAAAGTTGGTCTATTTCCAAATTAACTAACTCATTCTTATTTCTGAGTTATGTTGTCATCTTTAATTCAGTTTCAAAGTCTGTCTTCAGATCAGACAATTTCTTTGTTAGTATCCAGGAGTTTACCTTCTAACTCCTTCTTAAGCATTTCAAACTTCTCCTTCTGATTTATAAACTCTCTTCTTTCTTCATCTGAGTTACTCTTCTCATTCTCAGAAGCGATGTCAAGCCACTTTTTCTTTTCAGCAAGCTCTTAGCAATAGTTGTATGTTTCTTTGTAGTATTTCTCTTCTCAAGAGCAAACTGCTTTTTCTCTTCATCTAAAGCCTTCTGCTTTAGAGTAATGCTGTCTATAATTTCTGTGTTTGGCTCTGACACTCTTCTGTGATGTCTTTCTTCTCTTTATCATTCTTGGCACGTTCCAAGATGATCAGCTGCTCAAAATCTGATATTTGCTTTAACAACATTTTTGAGTTCAGCTCGAGAGAGTTTATCTTATTCTCATAAGATAAGCATTCAACATCAAACTTTTTCTCTATTTCAGAAACTCTTTTCTTCTCCTTTTCAAATTCATTCCTTAACTCACACAAATCACTCTCAAATGTATGAAGTTTTCCAGTTAACTCCTCTGTATCTGTATTATCTTTCTCAGAAGAATTCCTCTCACTTTGCAGATCTTGAAGTTTATTGAATAATTCCTTATTAGCATTACTCCAAGTCTTCAAATCATCATCATAGTTTTTACTTACAGAAAACAGAGATTTCTCAAGTTTTTCAACCTTATGCTGAAAATCTTTCTCAATTCTCTCACATTCTTCTTTATGTTCTTTCTTTAAATCTTTGATGAATTTCAGATTAGAGTGATTCTCATAGAATATGTTTACATATTTATTTGTATACTGTTTCAAACTCTTTTCCAACTCTGAAACTTTCTCTTTCAAAACTTTATTCTCTCTCTCAAAAGAAACTGCCATTTTTCAAAAATCAGATTGATTAATCAGATCAAATGCTGTGAAATCAGTTAAAAAAGAAATAAAAAACAATTAAGCTCAAAAACAAACAGAAAACTCAAAAACTATTGAGAAAATAGAAAATCAGCGAAAAACAGTTAGAATCAAATAAAAAACAGTTAATCACAACTAGATTCAGACAAAATTGGAAATTTGGCTAAGTATGCAACTCAAATCGCACAAAGCTGTAGCCGAGAAAGCATGTAATCCGGATGAAATATAGCTGAGAATAAAGGTAATCCGGACGCAGGGATATCCGAGAAAGTGTAGATCACGACCAAGAATTTAATCGATGAGAGCTAAGCTCGGACAAGGCTACGTTCGAGGCGGTTAGGCTTTGAATGATGTTCCAAGCGATTTAACTAATGCCCAGTCACCAACCAAGCAAAATGCCAAGCTATTTAGAGTTAACCGATCAAACCTTGTGAGAGTTAAGAGGAATCCGGTCACCAACTAGTCTATGTATCAAGCAATTTATGTAATCTGCTTACCAAGTCATCAATGCATCAAGCGATTTATGTAATCCGCTTACCAAGTCATCAATTCATCAAGCGATTTATGTAATACGCTTACCAAGTCATCAATTCATTAAGCGATTTAGCACAATCTGGTCACAAGCTAATCAAAAATGCCAAGTGACATAGAGCCTCAACAGATTACAATCGAAGCGATTTAACAAGAAAGGATACCAGCCAACATTCATAATCCGATCAAAATCAACAAACAAACACAAAAACTACAAAAAATTCAATCAAAAATGGATCAAAATCTAAATTTTTGAAAACTTTTTCAAGAACACCAAAAATTTTAAAACCACTAATTTCATCATATTTTGAAAATGGATGATCAAATCACGAAAATTTGTAAATAACAAAGATTCACGAATCAATTACGCACACTTTGATCATATTTTTAACATGAAAAACACAAAAACTTGAAAAGTTTTCAGATCAAAGTCTTAAAACTTGAAGAACACTAATGAAGAAAAGATGAACAGTAGAAAAATTTCCAAAAAAATCTTAAAAAAATTCTGATTCTTCACGCTATTTCACTGCATTCCTGCTCTGATACCAATTGTTGTTCCCTAATAATCAATCTTCAAAGTTGCGAAAGGAAATCGTAACTCCACAATCCGTGAAGCAACAACATGAAATCTTGTAAAATGAACGTATTCTTTCGGTGAAACAAAACCATCATTTCTACCGAAAGCATCACTAATTCCAGAGAGAAGAAAGTGTGTGAAAATATGGTGAACTACATGTTGTATATCAGCGGGGAGCTCGAAAATCTCACAAACTTTCAGCCTCGAGGCAGTGTTGATGATCCTGACTTCACCTACTACTTCAAGTTTAAGTGTGAAAACTGTGGTGAGGTGACTGAGAAAGAGACATGCGTTAGCCTGAATGGGACACTTCCTCTACCAAAAAAGGGTACCACCAATCTTATCCAAAAGTGTAAGTTCTGTAAAAGGGAAGGAACAGTGACCATGATCCCAGGCCGAGGCTCTCCACTTACTAATGACTCCAGTGAGTTAGGGAAGTATGCTCTTTTGATGGTATTCGACTGCAGGGGTTTTGAACCATTGGATTTCGTTCCTTTGATGGTATTCTATGGAAGGAACAAAATTTGACGATATCGACTTGTCTGGAGGGGACTTTGCCGAGTATGATGAGAAGGGAAGTTCAGAAGAATTTCCAGAAAAAATCTTAAAAGAAATTATGATTTCTTCACGCGATTTCACTGCTATCCTGCTCTGATACCAATTGTTGTTCCCTAATAATCAATCTTCAATCTTCTATCTAGAACCAATGGTAGAATCTCAGATCTAGTAATCAAGAACACATGAAAGAGTTGAGAGAAAAGGTCAATGCACTACAATCTAGTCAAACCTTCTTATTACGTAAAGATATTACAATTGAATTCTTTTACTCAAAATTACAAAGAACTTACCCTTTATATAGGGACAAAGTAAACACTAATAGTCAAAGTCAAATAATCTAGAGAAAAGTCAAACACGGTGTCTTTAATACAATTATAGACAAATTAACTTTCAAGACGAATACAATTTTACACTGAATTTCAGTCCAAACATAATCGATATGGCGCTTTAGCTACTGGTGCTACTCCAGGTATAAGATCAATCCCAAATTCAATAACTCTGTCTGGTGGTAAACCGGTTAAGTCCTCTGGAAAGACTTCTGGATATTTACTAACAATTGGAATCAGATCTTGCTTCCTTTTTTCTTTCTTTGCATCAATTCCATAAGCCAAATACCCCTAACACTTTTTCTCAATACACCTTCGGGATTTTAGTATAGATAAAAGGCTGGTATGATGATTTTGACAATCACCATAAATAACAACTAACCCTCTGTCTGGTAAGGCAATTCTAATCATTTTTCTATTGCAAACAATACTGGCTTGATTTTCTGTCAACTAATCCATTCCCACTACTACATCAAATTCTTTCATCGGCATCGGGAACAGTCAAATCGGTAACTCACACCCCTCAATAACAATGGCACAATTATTGAACATATAAGCAACAGATTCTTGACTATTAGCAGTGTCAACTACTAATTTATCGTCAAGTGGCACAAAATTCATGCATGCATATTTGGCAAAGGATGGTGATACAAACGAAAAGTTTGCACTTGAATCAAATAACACCTTAGCATATAGAGAGTATATGAGATATGTACCTGTTACTACATGTGATGTAGTTTCGGCCTCGTTTTTAGTCATCTGAAATGATCGATGTCACGCCCCTCCTTACCCTCCTCTACTTATATTTGGTCTTGAGGTATTACTTCCCATAGTCAGCTGTGGAGTTGTTAGTTGTGAGCAATTGGGTCGAAGATGATCTAGTGAATTACCATTAAAACATCTTTTAGCAATTGGATAGTTCCTTGACAAGTGACCTGCCTCACCACACTGATAACATTTTCTCATATTTGTTTTACAGTCGCCTTGATGAATCTGATGACATCGGGGACAGGCTTCTCCATTAATTTTCTGAAAAGGTCTATTGCCATAATTCACAGATTTTGGTCCTCGGTAACATGTTGAAGGTCCTTCCCATTTTCTCTTCTCTACAACTTTTACTTCTTCCTGTCTGTTCTTATCCTCTTAGTAAACTCTGTTGCATCCACTGTTAAAGAAAACGTAGTAGGATTCATGGCAATCACAAATTTTCGAATAGATGGTTTTAAACCCCAAGTATATCTTTCTACTTTTCTGGATTCAGATGAGATATAGTGCTCAACAAATCAAGAATATTCCAATGATTCAACTACTCACTAGAACGGTGCATTAGATTTTAATACAGAAACAGCAAATCTGACTTTATTTGCTTCCGAGCATCTGATAGTGTTGAATATAGACTCTATTTCCTTGATCCTGCACATGGATTTAACCGGATCTCGTTCTTCAGAAAATGTTGGAGGTTTGCAAGTTAGGAACCTTTTGATATCTCCCTCTTTGTTATTTATAACTGAAACAGATGGATTTATTTCAACTCTTTCGGTTTCAATTCTAGCAGGTATCCCCATGATGGATGTCAATGTTTCTCTTAATTTTCCCATTTCCTCTACTAACATATCCCTGGTTACATACTCTAGCTAGGGTATCTACTTTTGATTAACATTCTTAGAGTTAGATTCTACAAGGTCAGCATGAGTCTCATATTGATAATTTTTGCCTCTGGCTTGCCCTCTTTCTCTGCCTCTGCCTCTACCTCTGCCTCTACCCTCTGATGTATTGATTGGAGCAACAATAGGGGAATCCTCTGCATTATTAGGATTGGGGTGGATGATCCTTTCAGACCTTTGAGATCGGCTAGTCTTCTGCAAATTTCAATGTTAATAATCATGTATTCACATTCCCAAATATAATAAAGTGTCCAAGTTCAGATATGTACCAGTAGATTCATAATTACATTGGCCAGATCTAATTCGAATGTACCTAACACACTAATCCCTTAACTTATCATATTTATTTCCAAAGGTGCTAACTATGTCTAGGACCCTTAATATGCAATGAAACAGTTTAAGTCTGGGCATCATGTTGTGAATACCTAAATCCCTTAAACTCAGGCTCTGTTACCACTTCTATAACACCCATATCTTTACATTTCATATAACACATAATTCATTCAAAGAAATACACAACCCAAAAATTCCAAAATACATGTTCTTGTACTTCATAACATTCAACTTCAAAATTAAACACATTCATAGGCTGATCTTCATATAGTTATACACATAGGGAAACATATTACATTTTCCCCTTTCCTTTACTATCATGGTACTCGGTTGTTCCTGCAATACATATATGAAAGACAAAATGAGGGTTAGACCTGATGGTCTAGTGAGATCCCTTTTTCCATATAGTTGCAGGGTGAAAATCACCAAAACATTATCTCATCACAAATACTCACCTTATGCACATATTTGATAACAGATCACATAACAACTTCTTCAAGTAATCACAGAATCTTCAAATCACTTTTATGCAAGTTTTCTTTCAAGAAGACACCTTCAACGCCACACACACACACACTTTTCTTTTTCTGAAGGATTTCTCAAAAAGTAAGATAAGATTAATCTTATCTCCTTTATATATATATATATATATATATCAAAAGCGGTGTATGGTATTAATATCATCAAACTCTTAAGGCGGTGGGGGTTTACTTATTTTTAAATCTCTCATTCTTAACCAAAAATATGCACATGTACACATATATTTAATAATTTCTCATATATGCATATTATCATACGTGCATACACATATTTTAACAATTCTCACGTATGCACAGTAACACATTCATATATATATATATATACATCTTAATGCATATGAATTTCATCTTCTGTATATTGAATTTTGTTTTGAAAATGTGTGTCTGGATTGGAAGTGTCCAGTCACTAGGTTGACCGGATAGAATGTTGGTTCAATTTGAAATTAATGAATCCGAACATAGTCTTGACCGGAGAACTGTGAGTACGGTAGTAGTGTTGACCGGATTGGCATCTGTCCGGCTATAGTCTTGACCGGAGACAGGTAAGTCCGGCTAAGAGTTAACCAGATTTGAGTATATGAATTGTTTTCCCATAATTGAAGTGTTGGCCGGATTCGATTGTGTACAACTTTATTGGGACAGTGTTGATAAGATATATAGTCTGGCTGGAATTATTTATGTTGACCGGATAAGTTTATAAATTATTTATTCGAAGTTGGATTATGTTAAAAACATTTGTTTCTTTCTAAAATAATAAAGAAAGATTGTACAACGTTTGTTTTGAAACTAATACTGGTTATAACTATAGATAATCTTCCGTCAGGACGTTTGTGACTTCGGTTTGTCCTTATTGGAAATAATCTGTAGATTTTGATAAGGAAATAAGGGTAACATATCAATGAGAGGTGTACTTTGGGATAAGGGTGGCATGTCAAGGTGAGTTGTATCTTTGGATATAAGGGTGGCATTTATGTATGTGTTTATTAATGCAACTCTTACTATTATGTCCTTTAAGATTACGATGGCTCTGAGTCCTTATTTCTTTGTGATTTAAAGACTCAGGAACATGGTTCTTATTGGAAATGGTAGTAAGGATGTTATTGAGATGAAGATAATTGGCTTTTGGCCAGAGGTTTTAATAACCTTATTTCTAATAAAAAAATGTTTAGGGACATGTTATGTGGAATCTGAAAGTCTCTAGTCTTGCTTTTGCTAATGAGCTATTTATAAAGTCAGAATTTTGCTTGAGAATCAGAGGGTACTGGTTGTTGTAACCTATGTGGTTATGTATCTGTTTACATGAAACGTTAATTTTAAATAAAGTTTTGGTGATCTTCACCCTGCAATTTTATGGAAAAAGGGATATCACTAGACCTTCTGGTCTAACCCTCATTTTGTCTTTCTAATATGTATTGCAGGAAATGTTGGGTTACATGATGGTAAGGGAAAAGAAAAAATGTAATTATTTTCTTGTATTCATAACTATATGAAGATCAGCTTGTGAATAAATCTAGTTTTATAGATAAATGTTGAATAGTATAAGAACTTGTATTTTGGAGTTTTTGGCTTATGTAATTTGTACGTTAATTTCCTGTATTATGGGATCTAAGTCCAGTAATACATGTATTTGTTTTGAATGAAGTATGTGATTTATGCAATGTGTGATGTGGGGTGTTACAGAAGGTGGTATGAGAGCGTGAGTTTAAGGGATTTAGGTATTTAAAGCATGATACATAGACTTAAACTAATACATTGCATGTTAGGGGTCCCAGACATAGTTAGCACCATTAGGAATAAATATGATGAGTTAAGAGAATAGTGTGTAAGGTAAATTCGAATTACATCTCGCCAATGTAACTATGAATTTATAGGTACATATCTGAACTTAGATACTTCATTATATTTGAGAATGTGAATACGTGATTGTTAATATTGAAATTTGCAGATGTCTAGCCAAACTCGAAGATCTGTAAGGATCGCCAGTCCTAATCCTGATGATATAGAAAATTCCCCTGTCAATGCTCCTGCTAATACTTCAGAGGATTGAGGTAGAGGACAAATTAGAGGCAGGGGCGAGGAAGAGGACAAGTTAGAAGTAGAAGCAGTCAATCAGAAACTCATCCTGATCATGGAGAATCACATTCTGGAAATAGTAATCAAGAACAGATGCCCTAGCTAGAGTATGTAACTAGAGACATGTTGGCAGAAGAATTGGAAAGTTAAGCAAAACCTTGACGTCTATTATGGGGATACCTGCTAGAGTTGAAATGGAAAGAGTATAAATAAATCCCACTATTCCAGTTACACACAACAAAGAGGGGGATATTAATATGTTTTTGACTTGCAAACCACCAACGTTCTCTGGAGAAAGATATCCAGTTAAAGCTCTGTGTTGGATTAAAAAGATTGAGTTCGTATTCAACACTATTAAGTGTCTGGAGACATAAAGTTTGGTTTGCTTTTTCTATATTGAAATCTAATGCATTATTCTAGTGGGAAGTCGAGTCTTTGGCTAGAACGGATGTTTTACAACATCATCTTGGGCAGAATTTGTGAATAGATTTAAAGATCAGTTCTATCCCAAGACAGCCAAGGTTTTGGAACTGTTCAGGAATACACCGTGAAGTTCATTGAATACTTCCAATTTGCTGAACATTACATTTCGTCAAAATCCAGAAAAGTGGAAAGATATATTTGGGGCTTAAAGTCTTCAATTCGAGAATTTGTGATTGCTATAAATCCTACTATTTTTTCATTGATGGATGCTGTAGAGGTCACTGAAAGAAATAAGAATAGGCAAGAAGAAGGAAAGGTTGTTGACAAGAGAAAATGGGAAGGACCTTCATTTGATTATCGAGGGTCAAATTTAGTAAGATATGATAATAGATCTGTATAGAAAGCTAATGAAAAAGCCTGTCCCCGGTGTAGACAGATTCACCAGGGTGATTGTAAAACGGATCTGAGAAGATGTTACAAGTGTGGGGGGGAGGTCATTAATCAAGAAGTTGTCCGGTTACTAGAAGATGTTTTAATTGTAATTCACCGGATCATATAAGACCCAACTTCCCACTGTTAAAGACTTCGCAATTAACTATGGGAAGTAATGCATCAAGTGCCCGTGGAAGACCCAATCTATCTGAGGAGGGCAAGGAGGGGCGCAGGGTCGGTCATTCCGTATGATGAAGAATGAGGCCGAGGCTACACCTGATGTGGTAATAGGTACATTCCTTCTAAATTCCATATATGCTAAGGTGCTATTTGATTTGGATGCAAATTTTTCATTTGTGTCAACATCATTTGTTGAATCTGCATGTATGACTTTTGTGCTACTTGACGATATATTAGTAGTTGACATTGCTAATAGTCAAGAACCTGTTGCTTATGTGTTTCATAATAGCATAATTGAAACTGAGGGGTGTGGGCTGCTGATCCAATTGTTTCCAATGTCGATGAAAGAATTCGACATTGTGATGGGAATAGATTGGTTAGCAGAGAATCAGGCTAGTATTCTGTGTAATAAGAAAATGATCAATATTGATCTGCCTGGGAAAGGACCAATTGTTATTTATAGTGATCAGCAGGATCACCATATCAACTTGTTATCGATTATAAAAGCCTGAAAATGTATTCAGAAGGGATGTCAGAGTTATCTAGCTTATGTGGTAGATTCAAGGAAGGAAAAGAGTAAGCAAGAATTAATTCTAGTTGTGTGTGACTATCTAGAAGTCTTTTCAGAAGTTTTAACTGGTCTACCGCCAGATAGATCTATTGAGTTTAGAATATATCTGGTACCTGGAGCAGCAACAGTGACAAGAGCACTGTACCGACTGGCACTGTCGGAGTTAAAGGAAATGGTCACACAGTTGAAAGATCTCCTTGACAAAGGTTTCATCAGACCTAGCACCTCACGCTGGGGTGCTCCAGTTTTGTTTGTCAAGAAGAAAGATGGATCAATGCTGATGTGCATTGATTATCGTGAATTGAACAAACTGACGATTAAGAATAAGTATCCTTTACCAAGAATCGATGATCTATTTGATCAACTGGTGAGAGCCAGTTACTTTTCAAAGATCGGTTTGCGGTCAGGATACCATCAGTTAAAAGTCAGAGAAGAAGATATTGCTAAGACTGCCTTCCGAACTCGGTATGGACATCTTTTTTAGCCGGATATCATCATCCTCGGCCTAAGGATTGATCGTATTCACACCTTCTCGTACAAAGATCCGAGTTCAACTCTAACTGGCTCACAGTCTTGGTCGGACCAAGCTTCCTCAATCATCACCATCCGGATTTGTTCTTTGATCATTTACTTTGTCTCATTTTTGAACTATCAGACAACCCCGGACAAAGGGTCGTCCAGATTAGGCTCCCTGGAAACTGTCTTGGTCGCAAGTCGTCTTTCTAGCAAGCCTTCCTCGGACAATAATTGTGTCCAGTTTTGAGTAACCTCGGCCAAGACTTGATCCCTTATTCGGATACAGCCTTAGGTCTTCTTAAGCTAACCCGGAAACAGCCATATACGATTTAGCTTCCCCGCTCACCCATGTCCAGATTGTGTGACTTATCTGCCACATAGCTTTATGCAGATTAGGCTACATAGTGCATTACCCACGTTGGAGCTAGTCTTCTCGGCCAACAATTAGTGTTTCTCGGATACCCTTTTGATCATACTATTCTCTACCTCGGTCACTTGCTTACCCGAATTTCATCCTCGATCACCAATTGGTTTTACCTATTTTTCTTTAAATTTACTGATTTTTTGAGGACTATGATTGATTTTGAACTATTTTGAACTGTATTAATCAGTTTTGTGTAAACTATTTTTGATCAATTTTAGCAGTTTTTAACTGTTTTCAATAGTTTTTGACTATTTTTACTGATTTTTGGCGGTTTTCGCTGATTTTTAGATTTCTAAACAGTTTTTGAATTTCTTTTTTCTGAGAATTTTTTTAGCTTACGGACTTTATCTGAAAGTTTTTGTTGTTTTGTGATTTCTTTAACTGATTTCGTTCATTGCATTAGATTCTTTGATCAATCGTTGATTTTTAAAGGGCAAATTTTTATGAGAGGGAATACAAAGAGCTAAAAGAGAAATACAATAAATTAAATTCAGAGCTTAACAAGAACATATCTTGGACCATTCGGTTAACTGACTATAATGAAAGAGAGAAGGAAGAGAAGAAAGTTTTGCAAGAAAAGATGAATAATCTCATGAAGAATGTTTTTGATTCACAAGAGACTATAAGACTGAACAGAGAGATTGAAGAATTTACTGTAAAAATTAAATTCCGTAAAAGAAGATTCAGCTGAAGAATTAAAAGTTTGGATTAAATGAAACAATGATTTGTTTAACAAACTTCAAGATGTTCAAAATGAACTAAGTGCTGAAAAGAACTCTCAAAGAAACATTCATCAAGAAGTTAGAAAAACTAAATGAGAAACTTTGTCAATCTGAAAGTGATTTGATTAAAGTTAGAAAATTACTGGACCTAGAGATGGAAAAAGTTTTGAGAAAGAAAAAAAGAGAATGATTGAAGTGGAGAAAAGATTTGATTCTGAACGTATATCTTTTGAAAATAAGATCATCTCTCTAAAGTTGAATGCTAAAATGTTGTTAAATCAAATTTGTGATTTTGAACAGCTTATCATCTTGGAATGGGCCAAGATTGATAAAGAGAAGAAAAAGATTAGAGAATAATGTCTGAGCAAGAATCTGGAACTATCTGACTGCATTGCTCAAAAGCAAAAAGCTTTGGATGAAGAGAAGAATCTGTTTGCTCTTGAAAAGAGAAATACTACTAAGAAATATGCAACAATTTCAAAAGAGCTTGTAGAAAAGAAAAATGGCTCAACATTGCTTCTGAGAATGAAAAGAGCAGCTCAGATGAAGAGAGACGAGAGTTTGATAAAGAAAAGAAGATGTTTGAGAAGCTGAAGAAGGAGATAGAAGGTAAACTCCTGAATACTTCTAAGATATTGTCTGCTCTTAAGACAGAACTTGAAACTGAATTGAAAATGAGAACTGAACTCAAAGAGAAGTATGATTTAGTTGTTGATGAAAGAGACCAGCTTTTTAAGAAAGTTAAAGACTTTTCTTGTGCTCAAAGCTCAACTGATTCTCCTTCACGGTGTAAAACATGCTTTTATGACTGTTCTAAATCTAACAGTTATTCGAGCAGTTCTAAATCAACTGTTTCTAATAACTATTCTCATTGTGATAACCGGATTCTGGTCATCACCAAAGGTAATTAATATGTGATTATCTGATTAAATGATCACGTGATAGCATGATAAAATTGATATGTTTGATCATGCGGGTATGTGAGATTGTGTATTAATTGGATATATATATATATATATATATATATATATATATATACTACATATATAAGCATTTAAGTCATTGTCTTAATTACAACTTTTAAAGCATAGAGTACAACCATTTTAATGAAGAAATTTAAAAAACTCTTAATTACAAAATTTTATACACAATGTACAAGCCATTTATGCAATATCTCACAACCCACAACCCCAAATGTTAATTGGGTCAAACCCACCTTTTTCTTATCAAACTTTTAAAAATTCCCATTTGGGCCGATATCTCCTTCTTCAGAATTCTATCTCTGCAACTAAAACCACAAGATCAAAAGCTTTCTTCTTCTTTCTTCTTCTGTCATTTTTGTCACATACGAATCAAAACATTTTGGGATAGATAGACGATAACTTTCTTCTTTACAGACCTCGTTTAAGAAAACAATGATGGTTTTGATGTATCACCTCGAGCAGATGTGCTATTTCATGAATCAAGGGGATTTGATGTATCACAACCTCATCGATACATATAACTCCCTCATCCCTGTTGATTTAATCTCACAAGTTCTTCAAAACCCTAGAATTTGGAGGTATGCTTTCAAAACAATATTGTTTTCTATTTCAATTTTGATTTTTCCAACCATATGAGATTTTAATTTCCTTTCTCTTATTTTTGGTTTAACCGATTGATGAAGCAAGGCTATTTACAACTTTGAGGTAAGAATCCTCAAGAAT